GTCGTTTATGGTATTTTTAAGCTTGTTACAAAATATTATTTTTATCTTCAGTTAATCCAAAATAAATTAACTGTAATTATTATAATATTAAATATAATTATAATTATTATTTTATTTTACAAATGTTATTTTATGTCCTAACATAGTATTTTCTTAATATATATGATTTATTAGTTTTTGCTGAATAAAACAATATTGTTGTGATTTAATGAAATTTAGTGTTTTTTAATATAAAAACAAAAAAGTAGTGGTTTCATTTGCTAATTTCTTTAATTTGATCTTATTTTGTTTATTTTTTTATTTAGTTTTATTTAAATTTGATACATTTATTTTATTTCCTTCAATTATTTTTAACTTAATTTTTATTTGTTTTATTGTATTTTATTTTATTAAAATTTGATTTATTTCATTTAATTTAATTTAATTTTATTTTATTTAAATGTTTTTTATTTATTTATTTGTTTCATTTTATTTTATTTAAATGAGTTTAATTTAATTTTAATAGATTTAATTTTATTTTCTTAATTTATGGTTTCTTGTGTTCATTGTATTTTATTTTCTTAAAATTAAATTAAATGCAAAAAATATTTTAAAGTTTTTATTTTTATTTTAATGTATTTTATTTTATTTTACTTTATTTTTTTTTATTTTATTTCCTTAATTTAATATTATTTTACTTTAAAAAATAATTTGTTGTATTTTATGTCCTCATTTATTTATTCAATATTATTTAATTTAAATAATTAAATAAAATATTATTTATTTATATAATCTTATTTTATTTAGTTTAATTTAATTTTATTTATTTATTTTCGTTAATTAAGTTTTTATTTTAATGTATTTTATTTCCTTATTTTTATGTTATCTAACTTTATTTGATTTTATTTCAAATAAAGTGGTTTTTTCAATTTTGATTTAATTGTGTTTCATTGTATTTTATTTCCTTAATTTAATTTAATATTTAATTTAATTTAAAAGTTTTATTTCCTTAAAATTTAATTTAATATTTAATTTAATTTAATTATAAACTGTTTTATTTTCGTGTATTTTATTTGCTTATTTATTTTTTATTTAATTTTTTTTAACTATGTTTAACTAGAAATGTTAATCATCCAGTTGAAGATCAAATTTGAGTGACATGAAAATAAGCACGATACTCAACATGTCAAATTATCCAGTAAAAGTGTCAGTCCAGTTTCCATCAGCTGTCACCTTTCTGAATTATTCAACAACCTATATTAAACTGCAGTCATTTTACCCTCAGATCTCACTGCCACATTTATTAAGACTCAAACCCATTATTTGTCCATCAAAGAGTTTAAAATAACAAATGAATTTATTCTGAGATTCAGAAAGACCCGTAAAACAGAAACCTGCCATAATCAAACGTGCAAACAAGCTGCATTCTGGGAGGAGTTTCAGATTTATGCAGACATAAAAGTGTCCGATAGTGTGTGTGTATGTGTGTGTGTGTGTGTGTGCGCGTGCGTGTGTGTGACCATGATGTCCAACCTAAATGAGATCTTCCCATGTTGTAAATCTGTGTTTCTCGAGTAAAGGTGATTGAGATGATTTACAGTATGCTGAAGCATCTCTTTACTGTGGTACAAACTCACACACTGAATGACAGATACTGTAACCTCACAAACCCAAAAGCTCTGCCTCCATCTACAAGACCTGGAGGCACTAATATCTGCTCTTCAGGGTTTATGTGATTATATATAATTTAATAACGTGTGGTTAAATGGATCACAAAACTCACAGTTCAGATCACACTGCAGTTGTTCACCCTTGGACTGGATCAGATTTTTAAGACTAGAAATAAAATGCTTTTATGTTAGACGAACACTTGGTTTTTACAAAAAACAAACAAATAAATAAGTAAATAAATACATGAAAAACAAACAAACACATAAATTAATTAAAAACAAACAAAAAATAGCCTGCTTTTGGGATTATAAGAAAACTTGGTTTCACATAAATAGTAAATAAATAAATTTTGGTTTTACAAAACTAATAAACAAACAACTAAAATATGCCGTCATGGTGGCACAGTGGTTAGCTCTATCGCCTCACAGCAAGAAGGTCGCTGATTCGAACCTTGGCTTCACACAGGTTATTGTGGAGTTTGCATGTTCTCCCCGTGTTTGCATGGGTTTCCTCTGGGTGCTCCCGTTTCCCCCACAAGTCCAAAAAACATGCGGTACAGATGAATTGGTGAAGCTAAAATTATCCGTAGTGAATGAGTGTGTGTGGATTTTTTCTAGTGATGGGTTGCGGCTGGAAGGGCATCCGCTGCATAAAACATATGCTGGATAAGTTGGCAGTTCATTCCGTTGTGGCGACCCCAGATTAACAAACGGACTAAGCCGAAAAGAAGATGAATGAATAAAAGAACAAACAAACAAAACAAAATAAATAAATAATAAATGCATTTTAAAAATAAATAAATAAAATGCTTTTAGATTATAATAACACTTAGTCACAAATAAGACAAATACATAAATCAATAAACAAACAAACAAGCAAATAAATAAATAGCCTGTTTTCAGGATTACATGAAAACTTGGCTTTACAAAAATATTAAATAAATAAAAAATATTAATTAAAAACAATAAATAACCTGCTTTTAAATTATAAGAACACTTGGTTTTCACAAACAAACAAACAAACAAACAAACAAACAAACAAACAAACAGACAGACAGACAGACAGACAGACAGACAAATTGAAAAAACAAACAAATTAGTTATTTAATTAACAAATAAACCAATTAATAGTCTGCTTTCAGTATTACAAGAAAACTCAATAAATTATAATATTTTTAAACAAATAAATAGCCTGCTTTCAGAATGACAACAAAACTTGGTTTCACAAAAATATAAAACAATCAAATAAATATTGAAAACCAATAAATAATCTACTTTTAGATTACAAGAAAACATGGTTTCACAATAAAAAAACAATAAATAAATAATGAAATAAATAATTAAATACAAATAATTAAATAATTAATTAAATATTAATTAACTAATTAAATATTAATTAATTAATTTTGTGAAACCAAGTTTTCTTGTCATTTTCAGGATGACAAGAAAACTTGGTTTCACAAAAATAATAAATAAATAACCAGCTGAAAAATATTCAGTTATTAATTATATCTCCTGTATAATTAACAAGAATAACTCTTCCCTTATTTTCTTTGTCATTTAGCTTAATCTAATTAAATTAATGTATGTAATAGAGTTTCTAAAAACTTTGACAGCTTTAAAAGGTCATAACTTCAAAAGTGAATATAGGCAGTAAAGTTTTGCAAATAATCCACAAGTACAGCACAAAAAACAAGCAAATAATCAGCAGAAATGTTTTTGTTTATCCTCAATTAATAGCATATTCTGGGTGCTGCCTCTTGTATTGTTTAAATTTTAAGTTAAATTAATTAAACAAACAAACAATCAAATAAATAAATAAATAAATAAATAAATAAATAAATAAATAAATAAATAAATAAATAAATAAATGTTTGTTTAACTTCTATCCTCTGTTTTGTTGATCTTCTTGCTAATGTGTTTCAGCTTTCAGAAGTGGTGCTCAGCGCTCTCAATCAGAACCTGGTACAGTTCACACTCAGACCAGGAGTCCAGATAACTGTTTACGCTGCTCATTTATCAGCAGGTAACATGCACACACACACTCAAAAACTAAGACATGAAAACCTGCAGTCACACTTCACAATAAGGTGTATTTACTAACATGAACTAATAATGAACAATATCTGTACAGTATTTATTAATAGTTTAACATTTAACATTGTTTGTTCATGTTAGTAAAATGCAGTAACATCAACTAATACAACTTTGATTTAAAGTACCAGAATTGCTGTGTGACATCATGGCTGTATAATGATTTTGTTTTTCTAATCTGTAGAGTTGTTAATCTTTCAGTCGGAGATGCTCCGTGTATGAGCATTTTCTCTCCTCTGACAGCAGCTTGTGTCTGTATGTATGTTTGTAGCGCCTCTAGTGGACACCAGTGAGAATCACAGCGGCTCAGCGATGCTCATGCTCCTCTCTGTGGTGGTGCTGGGTTTAGCCATTTTCCTCATCTATAAATTTAAAAGGTATCGTCATCCTTTTTTCAGGCTTCAATCCTGACTGCTGTGTTTGCTTTATGTGTGTGAGCATCTTTGCTTTGTGAACTGATTCATTGTGAAGTAATCATGAGGGGAAAGGTTTAAAGAGCCATTTTAAATGTTGTAAACTAGAGTTAGTTTTTTTTTCTTCTTCTTCTTTTGTTTTGAATTAGGTTAACTGATATAATTGTTAATATTTGGTAAATAGCTTAATAAAATAAAATTACATTACATAAAAAATAAATACAATTAAATAAGAATAAATAAATTAAATTTATTAAATCAAATAATACAAAATTAAATAAAAAACTAGATTAAAATATTTTTGTAAACTAATAACTATTACTTCAAGCAACAAAAATGTGTAATTAATCTTACACCCACGCATAAGACAGCTTTAATTTATTTTGTTTTATTTTAAATTAGGTTAATTGAAAATATTACGCAATATTTGGTAACTGCTATAGGTGAAAATAAAATAAATGAATTATGAATTTTTTTAACTATTGACTTTTATATTAAGCAACAATACTATACAAAAATTATTTGTTAATTAAATGAATTTAAGATCTTTGCTAACATTTAAATATAAATTCAAGCAACTCTTTGATTTTCTATCTCTATCTCTCTAATAAAATAAAATACATATAATAATTAAATGAACAAAATGAAAATAAAGAAAATAATTAATGAAATGAGTTAAATTATTAATGTGTTGTAAAAAATTAGCTCGCAAAACATGGCAAAACAAACGTCTGATCACAGTGATTCAACACGTTGCTGTTGCAGAAGCTTCATTTAAGTTTTTGTTTATTCTCTTGTGTTCTCTAAGCGTTCCTAGCAAATGAGAAATGTCAGTCAGTGCTCA